CCCCCCCTTCTCTCTCCTCCCCCCCCAGGCTCTGTCTCCCCCCTCTCTCTCTCCCCCCCTTCTCTCTCTTTCCCCCCCTTCTCTCTCTTCTCCCCCCCATGATGGTGAAGATGAGGATGGCGGCCAAGGTGGAAGCCACCCAAGGGGTCCGCTCCGAGGCTGGTGGGGGGGCTGTCCAAGCCGCTCCAGTTGCCGCCTCGCATGCCGCCGGCCCCGGCAAGCCGCTCACTCGGCCCGCATCCCAGCGGCCCGAGCCGGGCGCCCGCAGGCAACTTCAAGCAGGGGCGCCGCTTTCGGGCGCGAGCCGGCAGGGGCTCTCTTGGGAGGAGGGGTGTGTGTGTGTGCGTGTCTCTGGAGCGCCGCCTTCTCCCCCTCGGACGTTGCCGTAAGCCGCTTCTCTTCCCTTCACGGGAACGCTGGCTGCTGGCTCCACGTCTCTTCCCCCTCCTCACCGGTCTTTCTCCCCCGCCGCTGCCGCTGCTGGGCCTCACCAGCCGTTCGCTCCCTTCCCCTGCACGCAAGCCTGGTAGGTCGCAGAGCGTCTCCTGCGCATGCACAGGAGACGCTCTTGCACTTTCGGGGGGATTTAAACATCCCCCCGAGATTTTTTTCAACTTTTTTTATTTTTGTGCACATGTGGGGACTGGCCCACGTGTGCACAAACCTCCCCCGGCCCCCCAGCTGCCCCCGGAGCGCTGATTTAGCAATCCGCACTCCGGGGGCAACTTCGCTATTAGATATATAGATGAAAAGAACAATATAGGAACCAGTGTTCCCTCAAAGCTGAGTTAGTGTGAGCTAGCTCACAGTTTTTTAGTCTCCAGCTCACACATTTTTGTCTTAACTCAGGAAAGATGGCTCCAGAGCAAACTAATTTATGCAGGAGCCAAATTGCTTGCTCACAACTTTAATGCCAGTAGCTTACAAAATAGAATTTGTGCTCACAAGACTCCACAGCTTAGAGGAAGCATTGAAGGAACTGATGCTCAAAATACTTAACGGCACTTTAATATCTTAGAAGTATAATATGTAGTCTTCCTCCTCTTTCTGATCTTGTGCCATCTTTCACCTTATTTATATTTTATGAAAATAGTGGGGCATATGACCTATGAGGTCACCCCAAGTTGAAGCTTCAAACCCAATCACATAGTTCCACAGTTGCTGAAAATCACAGCGTTAAAATAAAACATGTGAGGAATACATAGGCCAGGATCAAAATGCCCCTGTATGTAGGCATGAATGCACCATGGGACTTTTCCACTATCTTGTTTCTCTCTCACACACAGACCTATCCCCCCCCCAAAAAAAAGCTTTTCCTTGAATGTCTCTCTGGAGTAGGAGTCAATGTAATGCAAAAGTTGGCAGAAAGGGAAATCAGCAACTTCTTCCCCCCTTTCTACAAGCAGAAGTTTTGATGTTTGGTTCCCAGCCATAGCTAATACCGTTATCATGATCTGCAGGATTCCAGTCAAAGTCATCACTTGCATCTTGCTGCCAGGCACAAGTCCCTTGACCAAAGCTGCAGTCCGCTGAGAAACAAGAGGTGTGGTTCAGAAAAAGGAGATCTAAGATACTATGTTACATGCAAGATTTGAGTAGCATTCTTCCCCCCCCCCCACTAGAGGTGTCCTTTATTTTATTATTTAGTAGAAATAAATCCAAACTGTAACAAACATTCCAAAAGCCAAAGAAAAACACAATCTAGAACCATGGATATGCACAAAAAGTTAAGAGATATTGCGCTGAAAGAGGGCACAGGACTATTTCCCTTAGAAAAAGGTACATGTGAGAAATATGAACCAAATGCAGACATATAAAAGGGGGGATGAACATTGTTCTGTAGAAAGATGAAAGATTTTATAAAAAGATCCAGGGAAAAGATGTCCAGTACTTACCAAGTAGAAAAAAGCCAGAAGCACCTTAAAGACTAACAACATTTGTGGCAGGGTAGGAGCTGTCATGAGTCACTGCTTGTTTACCAAGCTTAGCTAGATGCTCTCAAGTTAAAATTTAGTTCCAAAAATTATATACTCCAGTGAATAAGAGTTGCCAAGGAAACATACAATGCTAGATGAAAACTACTGTAGTAATCTAAAATTTGCCCACCTTCCAGCTCTGCTTTTTCTCGTGGAATTTTTCTTTGAACGGGGAGAGGACCGAAAGCAGCAGCTTCTTTAGCTAATTCATAAATGGGGGGAAAAACCACAAACATTTATTAGTTCTCAAAAAAGGAGGTGTGGTTTTGCATAACAGATCATTAAGAGTTCACAGTACTGCTTAACAACTTACATGATACAAGTTGCAATCCTAATAACAGCTTTCCAGGAGTAAGTTCCACTGAATAAAATAGAATTTATCTGCTTAGTCTTGCTTCCCTATACACACTTGGGTATTTATTTTATACCCCACCTTTCTCTCCTGAGGGGACTCAAAGCGGCTTACGTTGCTTCCTCTTCACAACAATCCTGGGGGCAGGGTTGACCAAGTGTGCATGTGTCGCAAGCAGCAACTAGAGAGGTTCTCTAATGGCTGCCACCACTCTGATATGGGACTCCTTGGGATGGCCCAGAGCACTCACCCTACCCCTTTATACTCCTTTTCCAGTAGGCTTCCCCGTATAAGTGATTGAATGAGGCATGAGGACCCAGGTAGAGTAACAAACTATTTTTAATTAAAAGCATTTAACAATAACTGCTTCAATAAGGTGCAGGAAAAATGAGCACAGTGAAGGTAGGTAAATCAGTAAAATAATAAATCCTAACGCGTCTGACTATACTGTCCTAGCCTTCTCTGGGTACTTGGTCTCAGACTGACTCGCCCCTTTTGGATGAGGGAGCCCTCCTTCGGCAGCAGCCTCACCACATCTGCCTCCTGGGAGTGAACACCCCTCCCACTTTGGGCAAGGCCTTTTATCTCTTCTTCCCAGACACCACCCTCTGCTCCCTTGGTAGAGGGGACATGGGAAATGTAAGTGTAACCCATGCAGTTTTGTAGCTGTTAACAGCATACAGGGATCAGGCACGCCTGCTTTTGCCAATAGGTGGTGTGACAATTAACTCCCCCCCCCCTCTATACTTAGTTAATGAGCATGCTCAGTGCTTGTAGCCTTCCCTAAAGGAGGCTGGGTATTCCCAGTAGCCAGCAGTTCAGCCTGGCCCAGAAAGAGGCAACATCTTGGGGAGAGGCCTATATAGACTTTGCTGTGTTAAGCCCTGCCTTGAATTATTGCAGGTAAATCCTGGAGTCAACTGAGAAGAGCTGCAGCCTCCCAAGTACAGCCTGGAAACCTCATATGCTGTTCCAGTATCTGTGAGCTTACAACATATGGACCTACAATATATGTATTATTTATGTGCTTAGTATTTTTTATGTTCTGTGCATCCTTGTGGATGCTGAAGATATCTGTACTCAGTAATATCCTGAAGATTCATTGCTATGAAGTAATAGCAACCAACCAGAAGTGAATGAGGATTTATATGAAAACCTCCATGCTTTGTTTATATAAAGAGTTTATTTTAAATGTTAAAGTGCATTGGTTGTATTGCCTCTTTTATGTCTGTGTTCAAGTACATGTGTATTAACAGCAGTTACATATTCTTAATAACCATAGGTGGGAGTTCCGCTGTCAAAACCGACTGAACCTGCCCACTCTCCCTACAGATATTAGGACCTTAGTGGGTTACATAAGCCCTGATCGCTACTCCAATACAGTCTTCCCTGGAGCCACTAGGACTCCCTAGAGCCTGTAGGCTGCACTACTAGAGGTCCAGGATCATGACAGCATGACTGGGCCATGGTCAACAGCAGAGTGGGTAATCGAACCTGGGTCTCCACCCCCTAACCACTGCTTCACACTGGCTCTCAGTTGTGACAGTAATGACCACATTGGTTTGTGTTAGGTTTAGCCCTTAAAATACAGATTGAATAAAAACAAGAGCCACATACCATGTATAGGTTTAAAGGTAAAACAATTCTAAGTTTACTGAAAACAAAAGGGAGAGGAACTTTGGAGAAAATAAAAGCAAGCTAAGCAGACTACATGTTTACTCCTTGAAAGGTAAAAGCTTAATGGCTTCTTCTTCTTGCTCTCAGACAAAGGGTTGTAAAACATGTAAACAACTGCATAGAACATCAAAACATTTCTTCAAGCAACATATTGACCAACCAACAGAAAGGTTACAGACCACCTTATTTTACTAACACCTCCTATAAATTTTCCTGGGCAAGACTTAACTCTATTCTAACTGGTTACAGGCTAGACTATGTAATATCCTGCTTACTAACAATAACAGTTAACTCCATAATGACAGAAGTGGAGGCAATTTGTAAATATGCCAACAGTTTGTGTGATGATATTTTTCAAAAATTAATTGTTCAAAACTAAGAAATGACCCAGTTATCTTCTAATCAACATTCTATTGTATAAAATCCACTTCTAAACATACACTGAAATAAAATCAGTCACAACAGTAAGAAAATTCTACATTTACCAATTATAAAACAATTCCAAATTCAATTAGTATCAGAAATCAGTGGACCAACAGAAACTGCTAGATTAAATTAATTTAGACTCTTCATCAGTGACTGCTGTACAGCATATGGACTTTAACAAATCATCTTCTGTGTACATTCATAAAGATGCATGGGGATCTTCTTTATCCATAGGGGGAAAAACACCCTGCTACACATGGAGATAGATCAAGATGGTAGCCATGTTAGTCTGTCTGTAGCTACTGCTACACAGAAATTTTAAAATGCTGAAACCTTTGTGCTAAACCATACGATATCTTTGGAAAACTTCATCATTGCACTGAGCTTAAGCTCACAAAGAACATGGTTCCCAATTTTTAAAAAAGATTTATTATGCGCTAATCTTCAGAACACAATACAGCTTTGGCCACTATTATCCATGCACAGTGGTCACTTATAGGGGTGTTTGAACATCTGCCAGTTCAGCTCACTTCCTGTTCTCCGAAGGTGATCAGGCAGCCAATTAACCAACAGGCTGTTTGGCTGTTTGCATCTATTCACAGTAGGGTTGCCAGCTCTGGGTTGGGAAATACCTGGCGATTTGGGGGTGAAGCCTGGGAAGGTCAGGGATTGGGGTGGGGAGGGACCTCAGCAGGGTATAATGCCATAGAGTCCACCCTCCAAAGCAGCCATTTTCTCCACGGGAACTACTCTTGGTCATCTGGAGATCAATTATAACAGCAGATCTCCCAGTGCCGTGTGGAGGTCGGCAACCCTAATCCACAGGAACAGGATATTTGCAGCCATCAGAAGCTGACTCCCAGCTGATGAGGAATCAGCTTCTGATCTCCTGCTGGGGCAATTTTGCTCTGTACCTGTGATGACACTTCATCTCCAGACCTAGGGACTGACATTTCACACCCTATAAACTTTTAAAAATATATTTATAACTTAAGTTTTTTGGACCTCTTAGTTTTCTAGTCCTCAGTGGCGGCAATGGCTGGACAGGGTGCTACCCAGCATTCACAAGGCCCACTATGAGGGGATGATAGGCTTGAAGGAACCACACAGTGGTCTTTATAAAAACCACTAAGAAACAGGTTAATTTCAGTGGTATGCATGGCTTGGTTGTTCCTTTGTTTTCCTTTTCTCCAACTCTCTCAGAATTACAGTAGCAAAGTTACTGGAGAGCTAGGGCCTGAGAAAGCATAAGACTCATAAAGCAGCTTTCTTGTTTGACTGATTCAGACTTATAACATGGAACAGAAAGGCTTTAAACTTTTAACTGACTTTGACAGGAACAGCACCCAAATCCTACTTATCTTCAAAGTATCTGAAGTTCCCAATGGACTACCTACCTAAGCAGCAGGCCTCCTTACCAAGGCACCAAGGCACCCACCAACACCTTTTCTGGCACCCACCAAATGTTTTTAGAAAGTGGGTGGGGCCAAGTAGTACGTTTACCCAACAAGGTTTCTGATAGTCTACTGGAGATTTGATTGGCTGTGGATTTTTTTTTTTAAATGTTGCTTTGGCAGCAGTTTCCAACACAGCACAAGGATCTGCCCTGTGTGACTTAAGCTGTGGCATTAAGTAGCTGGCTCCATCTCGTGCAGCAGCCATTTTCTTGCTGCACCCACCATACCGTGTCAGGATTCCAAATGTGCCTGCAGGCTCAAGAAGGCTGGGGATCCCTTGTCCTAACCCTTCTCCCACCAAAATCCACCAACCTTCAACTCTGTCAGTTGGCCAGCAGTTAAACTGCCAAACTCCTCCTATTTTCTTTCATTTTCAACATTCAAATCCACAGTTCGAAAGTGACTGACGGAAGCTCCTGGAGGGCAGAACTTGAAACTATCCTTCACAGTACCCAGGTGTTTTTTTTTTGGGGGGGGGGCATATCAGCAACCAGACTTGCTGAGATGCAACAAATTCCAGGGAGTGATCAGAAGCCCAGATGATTTCCCTTCTCTTCTTCCCACTCAAAGCTTTCAGCTTGGGCTGTAGAGAAAAAGAGATGAATGAGCTTTCTCCTCTCCCTTTTGCAATGGGGAGCTCAGAAGTATTGCTACTGTCCCCCTGCTCCACTACAGCTTGGATGGGGAGTAACTTCTTCATCTATAGCCACCATCTCCAACTGCCATTATGTTGGTGGAAGGACAGCTTTAGAACCAACCCTTGGTGTTCCATTGTACTTGGTATTGAATCATTACACTTCAAGCCTGCTGTTCCTCCAAAGTGCTCAGAGTGGCTAATATGGGGTCACTCATCCAGGTATTTTTCAGAGCTATACCAGTTTCAGCAGCAGATCTGCATCAAATTCCTTCAGATCGTTCTCTGGGTTATTATCTTTATATATGTGGATATAACAAACAGATGCAAGTTTGGCTTGGGTATATAAAACTAATTTAATAAGAACATAAGAGAAGCCAATATTGGATCAGGCCAATGGCCCCATCTAGTCCAACACTCTGTCACACAGTGGCCAAAAATACCAGGTGCCATCAGGAGGTCCATCAGTGGGGCCAGGACTCTAGAAGCCCTCCCACTGTTCCCCCCACCCAAGCACCAAGAATAAAGTGCCTCACTGCCCCAGACTGAGAGTTCTTGTCTATACCTTGTGGCTAATAGCCACTGATGGACCTTTGCTCCATATATTTATCCAGTTCCCTCTTGAAGCTGTCCATGCTTGTAGCTGCCACCACCTC